TGTGCTTTTTCAGCGTGCATTCTTGGAGCAGGTTGGGCTTTTCTGGGGTGGAGGCAGCCCTCTGGGTTGCTGCCAGGATTGCAGGGTGTGAATTTGGGCTGCACTGCAGCTCTGTGCATGTCTCAGCTGTCATGCTGTCAGCTTCTTTTGCTGTAACCCTTCTGAAATACATCACCCTTCTGAAATATTCAACCTTTCCATTTATTGCTTTTCAGTGATGTAGTTCCACACGAACATTCAGATTAAAGCAGTTTCTCCCTTTTTAAGCTACTCACCTGTTCTAATGTGAGCCAGAACAGACTGTGCCCAAAAGAAAAGGTTTGTAACTATTCAGGGAGCTGTTCCTGAGAGGTGTGGGTGTGTTGGAGCTGCATCCCACTCTCAGTCCAGTGGTGGAGTCCAGCTGCTCACCCACCTGCCAGGATTTGATTTTCCTTTGCAAATGCCCTGAGCCAGGAGTCACCTGCAGGATGGAATATCCCAGACACAGATATGGTACCTCTGCTTGTTTTGGGAAGGAGTAAACTGCAGCAGCCTCTGCAAAGACACCCCAGTGAGTTCTGTCTGCCACCCTTGAGGTGTGCCTGGTTTACACCTGACCCCAGGCTCTGGCACCTTCAGGGACACAAACACAGAGTGGGAATTTGCAGCTGGACTGGGTGACAGTTGCCTTTTTTGTCTCCTGCTCATGGGACTGTGTGGTGGTGTTCACAGGGGTCCCAGGATGAGGGAAGAGATGAGAATCTTGACTCCCATGTTTCAGAAGGATGATTTATTATTTTATGATATATATTATAGTAAAATTATATACTAAAACTATACTAAAAGAATAGAAGAAAGGATTTCATCAGAAGGCTTGAAAGGAATGGAATGATAATAAAATCTTGTGACTGACCAGAGAGTCCGAGACAGCTGGACTGTGATTGGCCATTAATTAAAAACAACCACATGAGACCAATCAAAGATCCACCTGTTGCATTCCACAGCAGCAGATAATTATTGTTTCTCTTTTCCTCTGAGGTTCCTCAGCTTCTCAGGAGAAAAAATCCTAATGAGAGCATTTTTCATAAAATATGTCTGTGACAGGACTGGGGCTGCCTGGTTTTCCAGTGTCAGTACCCTGACTCTGTGTGGTTGGAAAGAATGACAGCCTGACAAACACTGACATTATTAATGCAGAAAGCTGCAGAGAGGCTCTCCTGGAGCACTGGGGCTGCCAGAGGACTCCTGGGCTGTTTGCTGGTAATGCCAGTATGTGAATCCTCTGCAGAGCTTGCACACACAGAGGGCTCAGCAGTAACTGGGGCACGATACAGGCAGTGAGCCTGGCAACAGCAGAGCTTCCTGCTGGGTTCTGGGTGTTCCTGGAGACACAGAAAACCCCACTCCCCATCCACACTGATTATTTAAATACACTTTTCTGGCTAGTTTTCTAACCTTAGAGCAGCCTCTCTCTGGTGTCAGCCTTCATTGTAGCCAGCTGTAATGGAATGTCCAAAGGGAGGGTTTGGATGCTGAGGCCAGCTGGAATTGTGAATCATCAGGGTTAACATGTCAGTCACAGTGAGCTTGGGTGACTCACAGATCTCAACCCTCTGCCTCTCATTTCCCTTTGCTTACAGAACAGTTACTTAGTCACAGGATACTTATGGAGATTATCAGGGTTCCTGAAAAACTGGAGCATGTTGGCAAGGAGCCCTTCCTCCCACATGGAAAATCCTGCTCATCCTGGGGATCCCTTGGCCTGGGAGGCAGCAGAAGATACAGGCTGAAGCTGGTTTTCCTGAGCATTTCCTTCTTGGGCTCTGTGGGGAAATCACTTTTTGCTAGCTGAATCCAGCAGCTCTGGAGTTTGCCATGGTTCCCCATTTGGGGAAAAATAATTCCAGTTTGTCTTTTTTTTCTTAAAAAAAACCCCTTCTCCTGAACTGTGTTAAAGGCTCCCCAGTTTGCTGTCACTTTGCTGCCTGCAGGGACTTGGTGCAGTGGGAAGTGTCTGTGAAGCCTGGGCTTGTTTTTGCTGGGAATCAGGGGGATTAGCTTTCCCTGTCCCTGTTTGGCTGTGGCTGACTATTGGGCAGTTCTCTGGAATAATTCTTTTTTTGCTGCAGTTCATTAGGGGCAGCAGCAAATGGGGCTGAGCTAATGCTCCTGGCGGGCACATCCCAGTGTAAATGTGCTGCAGGGAATCAACAGAAATGCCTGTGGGGAGCCTGAGCTCAGTGTCACATGGCTGGGGCTTCATTGTGCTCATGAAAAAGGGAACTTCAGCAGCTGCTGTAGAAAATGCTGTCTCTGCTCCCCGTGCTTCCTGGGGCACTGCGGTCAAGGCCAGCCTTCTGCTCCTCTTGCCATTTTTTGTCATTTGTGCCATTTTTTGTCCCTGAGGGTGGGATTGAAGTCTCTGGGCAGCTCCACACATAGATGGGGGGGTTGTGCCAAAAGATACATTATGTTATAATACCTCTTTTTTTTCTCTTTAAAGCTTTTTTCATCAGTAATCCTACTTTTAATGGAGTAGGATTACTACTCCCTACTTCTAATTGTTCAATTTAGAGCTGCCTTCCTCATGAGTAATCACTCTTCTGTCTCTTGCAGGATTGAATTCCAGAACAAGTTCTACACTGGCACTGGGTTCAAGTTTCTCCCTTTCTCCTTTGACATCATCCGTGAGGGGAGGTTTGATGACTGAGGCTCCCCATTCCAGCAGTGTTCAATGTTGTGTGTGTGAGACCCCAGCACCAAGGGTGTGGCTGTCCCCTCCTCCTGTGTGTGTGTAGTGACAATAATTTATTGTGCAGCACCCCTGAGCGTTGCCATGGCACCCCAAAGCCAAAAGCTTTGACGTTCAGGGGTAACAACACTGGATCACAGAAACTTCTGGTTCTTTAAGTTTACTCCCAAAGGTACCAAGTGCATGAGGTGTCTGTTTGGTGTGCAGTCGTGTGCTCCCTGTGTTGTGCTTTCCTTGGCAGCTGATCAGGGCAGAAAAGAAATGGCAGCTGTGCTGAGGGGACAAAAGAGCTCATGGAGAAAAGGTCCAAGGAGCAAAGAGTGAGGGCTGTTCCCCCTCTCATTGCTGGAGGCAGTGGTGAGGAGCCCTCATGCACTTGGGACTCAGCTGCCTGACGTGGCCTGGGGCAGGATGGGGAGGGATGAGCCTTGGTGCAGACTGTCACTGGCCACTGGCAGTGACATTTCTTGGGCTTTTTGGTTTGAAACCAAAGCCCTCGAGGCACATCAGATAGTGCCTGTGTGTGCTTGGCATTGCTGGAGGCAGCTTTTGCTCAGGTGGGTGTACCAGTGACTCACATTGTCCTGTGCACTCTCTGGGAGCCCTTTCAGGGAGAGCAGTGGCCCCATCTTGCCAAAACAGCCCCATGGCAGGGGGGTCTCTGTGGTGTGTCCCTGCATTAGCTGTTGCTTTCTTTCCTGTCTGAGCTGTCAGTATTTCCTTGCACTCCTCGACTCGATGTAGCTGTAGCAGCAGTGGGTGTGTCAGTGCTGTGTGTGACTGTCGTGTTCCATTCCTGCAGTGGAGCTGGGTGTTCGTGTAAGGACAGATTAGAACAATAACAAGACTCATTAACCTGGAAGCAAGGAGGAAATGTCTCAAGGTGCCAGGCTGCTTAAAATTAGGTGAGAAGGTTATGTGTACTGCAGTACTGTGCAGTGGGGCACAGGGAGCCTTGTGCTGCACCTGGGCAGGCCCTGGGCACTGGGGGATGTGCTGGGCATTCACAGAGGTGTCTGCAGACTGAAGGGTCAAATCAAAGCGTGGCTGCAGGTGGAGCTTTGACACCGGCCCTGCTGTGTTCTGCTGCCTGGATGAAACACGTTGCTGTCACTGTATAAATTAAATGAACTCCACAACAAACACACTGTGGCCTGTTTTCTGCTGAGGGGCTCAGGGGCAGCCCCTCATCCCTGACCTACCCTGAACACAGAGCTGCTGGGGACAGCTGGGACCTCAGGCATTTCTGTCCAGGATCTGTCACCTCCCTGACCAGAACCACGGGGTGGGCAGGGCTGGTTTGTACAGCGAGACCAGCGTGACCCTGGGCTGTGATGCCTCTGTGCTTATCCTGAGCAAAGGCTGGGCCGGGGCCGTTTATCCCGGGGCCTCCTGCCCTCCCTGATAGACCCAAAAAAGTTAAACAAGTTTTCTTGTTTAACCCGGGTGCTGTGGGTACCATTGCACAGGCGCTGGGGGTAACACGCTCTGCGTGCCCGGGGCTGTGCCCTGCTCCTGCTTTCCCCGCTCCCCGAGGGCTGTGTTTGCTCAGCCCCTTCCTGCCGGACAGGGTATTTATTTATTTCCACGTGTGCGGGAGCAGCGGAAGGGAGGGTTCTGCAGGGGTTTGGCCATGGTGTGGCTCACGGTGTGTTTCCCATCTCCCGATCTCTCCGAGAGGGCGAGGAGCCGCACTGAGCTGCGGGCCCGGCCTCCCGCACCTCTTGGATGAGGAACCGGCTTCCTGCCGGTCCGGGGGATGCTTTTCCTGCAGCTGGAGGTACTAACGGGCCCCGGGAACGTTCTCGGTCCCCTTTCACCATTCTCCCGTGCAATCACAACATTTCTGCCCGTTTCCATGGCTCTGGGCTCACAGGCACAGCCCTGGAGCTGGCAGGACACCCCGGTCCGCCGTGGGGTGCACTGGGGTGCTCGGGGAGCCCCGAATTCCCGTCCCTCCTCTGGGTTCCGTCCTGGAAGTGTCTGCGGATTCCCCCTGCGGCTGGGAGAGACCCGGGCAGCCCGAGCCCGTTCCCGGCGGGGTTCGCCTGGGCGGCCAAGGCCGGGACGCTCCCGGTGGGTTCTGCTGGCGCTGCCGGGACGCTCCCGGTCCGGGGCGCCGGCGCTGCCCGGTCTCGCAGCGCCCTCGGCCGGCCGGAGCGGGTCCCGGTCACTCCCGGAGCCCCGTGCTGATGGATGGGCGGGGCCGGCGGCGGGCGGGGCCGTACCGGGACGGGCGGGACCGGCGCAGGGGCGCGCAGCGGCGATGGCGGTGCGGCGGGGACCGGAACCGGGGCTGGGTCCGGGACCGGGGCTGGCGCTGCCGTTCCTGCTGCTGCTGGCGGCCACGGCGGGGCGAGCGGGGGACGCGCGGCAGGAGGAGGCGGTGCGGGCGCTGGCGCGGCGCCTGCTCGGCCCTCGGGCCGCCGCCGTGTCGCTCTCGGTGGACCCGGCGCTGGCGGCTGGCGGGCCTGACATCTACCGGCTGTGGTCGCCTCCCGGCACCGGGGTGGCCGTCGCCGTAGAGGGCTCCAGCGGCGTGGCGGCGGCCGCCGGTCTCTATCGCTACCTGCGAGATTTCTGCGGCTGCCACCTGTCGTGGTCCGGGGCGCAGCTCCGCCTGCCGGAGCCGCTGCCGCGGCTGCGGGCCGAGATCCGCGCCGCCGCCCCCGGCAGGTAACGGGGACGCGGGGCCGGGCGGCGCTCACGCCTCGTTAGCGCGGGACAAGGCGCTGTTATGTAACGGGGGGCCCGGGGGGCGCGGGGGGCCCGGGCGCAGCCTCCGCCGCTCCCGCAGGTACCGGTACTACCAGAACGTCTGCGCCCAGAGCTACTCCTTCGCCTGGTGGGACTGGGCGCGATGGGAGCGGGAGATCGACTGGATGGCGCTGAGCGGCATCAACCTGGCACCGGCTTTCGCGGGGCAGGAGGCGGTCTGGCAGCGGGTGAGGACCGGGCCGAGGGGCGGCGGGGACCGGGAGGGCGGCGGTGGGGAGCCGTGGGACCGGCTGACCTCCGGTTAACCACCGGTGCAGGTTTACCGTAACCTGGGGCTGAACCAGTCGGAGATCGACAAATACTTCACGGGCCCCGCGTTCCTGGCCTGGAACAGGATGGGCAACCTCCGCCGCTGGGCCGGGCCGCTGCCGCCCGCCTGGCACTTCAAACAGCTCTACCTGCAGGTACCGGGGCCGCCCGGGGCAAACCCTGTCACCCCCGGGCCCTCCCGGCCGAGGGGAGCCCCCCGCTCCCCCCGAGCTGCAGCAGCGCCCGGGGTCCCCTGGTGGGAACCTGGGGGCTTCTCTCCTTCTGCTCCCTCCCTCCTTCTCTCTCCCAGTACCGCATCGTGGAGCGGATGCGCTCGCTGGGGATGACCACGGTGCTGCCGGCCTTCGCGGGCCATGTGCCGCAGGGGATCCTCCGGTAGGTGCGGCCCCTGCCCCGGGGGCTCAGCCCTGGGCCCTTCCCGGGCTCTGATCTCCTGCAGCACCTCCCTCTGCAGCTTCCCCAGTCTCCACACGGGCATGGTGGTCCTGTCCTGTTCTTCTCCTGATCCCCATCTCTGCCCTCGCCTGCAGGGTCTTCCCCCGTGTGAATGCCACTCGCCTGGGGCACTGGAGCCACTTTGACTGCAGCTACTCGTGCACCTACCTGCTGGACCCAGAGGACCCCATGTTCCAGGTGATCGGGACGCTCTTCCTGAAGGAGCTGATCAAGGAGTTTGGCACAGACCACGTCTATAGTGCAGATACCTTCAACGAGATGACCCCCCTCTCCTCCGACCCTGCCTATCTCTCCAGAGTCAGCAATGCTGTTTTCAGGTCAATGACAGGAGGTGGGTCCATGTGTGGTGCTGTCCTGGCCACAGGGGTCCAGGTGGGATAGCAGGAGCTGGGGGAGGTAGCTGTGGGCCCCATATAAGCGCAGAACCCATTGGTACCAGATCCCCAAAACCCCCTTGAGACGTGGTTAGTGGCCACAGTGCCTCATGAGACACCTGTGGGCCCTGCCTGGAGAGGGTCTCACTCAGTGCTCTTCTGTCCCCAGCTGACCCCAAGGCGCTGTGGCTGATGCAGGGCTGGCTCTTCCAGCACCAGCCTGACTTCTGGCAGCCAGCACAGGTGCGGGCCCTGCTGCACGGAGTGCCCCTTGGCAGGATGATTGTTCTCGACCTCTTTGCTGAGTCCAAGCCCGTCTACCAGTGGACAGAGTCCTTCTATGGCCAGCCCTTCATCTGGTGCATGTTGCACAACTTCGGGGGCAACCACGGCCTCTTTGGCACGGTGGAGGCCATCAACCACGGCCCCTTCGCAGCTCGGCGCTTCCCCAACTCCACCATGGTGGGCACGGGTCTGGTTCCCGAGGGCATCGAGCAGAACGACATGGTGTACGAGCTGATGAACGAGCTGGGCTGGCGGCAGGAGCCCCTGGACCTGCCCAGCTGGGTGACGCGCTACGCCAAGCGCCGCTACGGCGCCCCAAACGCCGCCGCGGCCGGCGCCTGGCGCCTGCTCCTCCGCAGCGTCTACAACTGCACCGGCGTCTGCGTCAACCACAACCGCAGCCCCTTGGTGCGCCGGCCCTCGCTGCGCATGGACACCGAGCTCTGGTACAACGCCAGCGACGTCTACGAGGCCTGGCGCCTGCTGCTGAGCGCCGGTGCCCAGCTGGGCTCCAGCCCCACCTTCCTCTACGACCTGGTGGATGTGACCCGGCAGGCGGCGCAGCAGCTGGTCAGCGATTACTACCTGAGCATCCGCCAGGCCTTCCAGAGCCACGCGCTGCCCGAGCTGCTGACGGCCGGCGGCGTGCTGGTGTACGACCTGCTGCCGGAGCTGGACAGCCTCCTGTGCAGCCACAGCCTCTTCCTGCTCGGCCGCTGGCTGGAGAGCGCCCGTGGTGCGGCCACCAGCACCCGGGAGGCTGAGCAGTACGAGCTGAATGCCCGGAACCAGGTGACGCTCTGGGGGCCCAGCGGGAATATTCTGGATTATGCCAACAAGCAGCTGGGGGGGCTGGTGCTGGACTACTATGCTGTGCGCTGGAGCCTCTTTGTCTCTGTGCTGGTGGAGAGCCTCAACTCGGGCCGCCCCTTCCACCAGGACCAGTTCAACCAGGCTGTCTTCCAAGTGGAGAGAGGCTTCATCTACAACAAGAAGCGTTACCCAGCTGTGCCAGTTGGGGACACGATGGAGATCTCCAGGAAGCTGTTTCTCAAATACTACCCCAGCGCCCTGCAGCGCAGCTTGGCTGGGCCTGCCTGACTTTGGGTTCTGCCTCCAGAGCCTCCCCCAGAGGCTCTGTGCTCAGCTCTGCCCAGCTGCCCTGAGCCTGTTCCCAGGAAACCTGGGCTGCCCCAGTGCAGCTGGAAGCTTGGTGGGACACTGCAGAGGGACAGGACAAATGTGTCCCTGCTGTGGGGCCTTGGCTGGCTAGCAGGGACAGTGATGGGTGAGAAGCAGATGGGGAGGTGGCAGTGGGCAGGGGGACAGAGCAGTGTTGGACTCCAGTGCCTGTGGGGACATGGCATTGCATGTCCCTGCCCACATTTGGTGCCTTTTGTATCATAAAAGACTTTGCAGCATTGTTGCCTGCAGTGTTGCTGGACCTGCACTCCCCAGGACAGAGTTTTTGAGGCCTTTTCCACAGCTGGGGCTTGGGCAGAGCCTAGCTTTGGATGGAGCAAATACAGACTCTTTTCTCCCATGTGTGTCCAACTCCTTTGCTAGCACAGGACTGTGTGGAACATGGGGGCAGAGGAGCAGCTCAGCCCTGAGCCTGCCCAGCAGGAACAACACCCTTCCAGATGTGTCCTGGCAGCTGGGATGCCTGGCACAGCAAAGTACAGCTGGGGCTGCGGCTCCCCTCGCGCCCCAGAGCCTCCTCCAGCAGGGAGGTCCTGGCTCAGTGGAGTCTTTATCACAGCACCTGCACGGGATCAAGGCACAGGGAGCCCCAGGCATGCGCGGGGAGGTGGGTGGAGGGGATTGAGATAAGGCAGCAGACACAACACCGTGGTGTGAGGCGGGGGGACCCCTTTCCCAGCCCTTTTAAATGGGGTGGCCCAGCTGGGCAGCGCTGCCAGGCATGGAGAGAACCACGGTGCTGATCACGGGCTGCTCCTCAGGCATCGGCCTGGGGCTGGCTGCACGCCTGGCAGCCGACGCTGCTCGCCGCTTCAAAGGTAAAGGGGTCAGCGCTGCCCGGGGCTCTGCCAGCCCCAGGTGGTCTCACCAAGGACAGGCAGAGCCTGGGGTGGGCTGGGGTGGGTGCAGCACTGCTGCCCTCAGCCACGCTCTCTCTCCAGTTTATGCCACCATGCGTGACCTGGCCAAGGGTGAGCGGCTGCTGGAGCGCCTGGGGGGCTGCTGCCCCGACACGCTGGAGCTCCTGCAGCTCGATGTCACTGACCCCTGCTCGCTGGCAGCTGCTGCACAGCGAGTGCAGGGACAGCAGCTGGATGTGCTGGGTATGGCTCTTTCTGGTGGCCCCAGTGTCCCCGGGGTGGCTATGGGGACTTCTGTGGGGTCTCAACCCCCCCCAGGGCACCAGGAGGAGAAACCAAATTATGGGAGGTGCAGGCAGTCCTAGGGCTGGGACAGGATGTGTTTAGCAGGACAGATGTGCAGTAGATGGATTTGGGGGTGCCAAAGGATCATCAGCAGGGAAAGACCCCTCCACATTTCTGCCTTCTCGGTGGTGTGTGGGGCTACAGTCACAGGCTGACTGCAGTGTGCCTGGCAGTCTGCAATGCAGGGGTGGGACTGATGGGACCGCTGGAGACCTGCTCCGAGCAGGCCATGAAAACTCTCTTCGATGTGAACGTCTTTGGGGCTGTCCGCACCATCCAGGCCTTCCTGCCTGCCATGAAGAGCCGCAGGGCCGGGCGGATCATTGTCTCCAGCAGCATCGGGGGGCTGCAAGGTGGGACCCCCAGCACCCTGCGGCACACGGAGCTCCCCGTGGGGAACAGCTCGGGTGCTCAGGGTGTGGCTCTGCCCCCAGGGCTGCCCTTCAATGCTGTGTACTGTGCCAGCAAGTTTGCAGTGGAGGGGCTGTGCGAGAGTCTGGCCATCGTCCTGCGCCCCTTCAACATCCAGTGAGTGCCGGTGATGCCACGAGGGCTGGATCCTGCCAGGGTGGGGGTACGGTGGCAGCTCATGCTCTGCCTCCCGCAGCCTGACGCTGGTGGAGTGCGGGCCCGTCCACACCAGCTTCCTGGCCAACCTGCAGCGCCCCGACCCTGAGGGCAGCGAGATGCGAGGCCTGGACGCCGAGACACAGGGGCTGTACCGCCGGTACCTGGGGCACTGTCAGAGCACCTTCCGTGACACGGCCCAGGAGGTGGAGGAGGTGCTGCCGGTCAGTCACGGCGGGGCGGGGGTGGCCGCGGGGCCGTGCCAGGGAGGGCTCTGACCCGTCTGCGGTGCCAGCTGTTCCTGGAGGCCATCGGCAGCCCCTGCCCTCCCCTCCGCTGCGCCAGCACCCAGCTCCTCGCCCCTCTCCGGCGCCTGCGGCTGAGCAGCCCCGACGGCTCCGCGTACGTCCGCGCCATGTGCGACTTCGTGTTCGGCGGCACCGAGAGCGGCGGGGACCAGCCCTGAGCGGAGCCACGCCAACACCGGAACCGCTGCCCTGCGAGCCCCCAGCCCGGGCCCGGGCCCGGTGCCGCCTGTCCCCAATAAAGCCCTTTGCAGCCGCACGGCTCCGGCTCCGTCCCCGTCTCTCCGCGGAGCTCCCGGGCTCGTTCCGCCCCGCGGGGCCGCACCGGGCCGGGCCGGGCCGGTCTCCTCCCCCCGCGGGCGGAGCCGGGCGCGCCTCCCGCCCGCGGCGGGGCTGCCCGGGAGGCGGAGCTGTTCCGGTGCCGTTGCCGGCCCCGTTCCGGTCGGCGGCGCTTCCGGCGGGGCGATGCCGCCCTTCGCCTCGGGGCTGCTGGTGCTGACGGCGCCGCTGCCCGCGCTGCCCCGGCGGGCGGCGGGGCTGGTGGCGGCGGCGGCGGGGCTGGTGGCGGGGCCGCTCTACGTGCATCTGCAGCCGGGGCTGCGGCTGGGCGGCCCCGCCGCCGGCCCCGCCGCTCCTCCCGCGGGCCCCGCGCTGCTGCGGGCTCTGGCCGCGCTCTACACGGCGGCGGCGGCGCGGCGGGGGCTGGACCTGCGCGTCCTGCTCGGGCCCGGCCGCCGCCTGGCACGGCAGCCCCGCGTCCTGCTGGCGGCCGCCGCCGAGGCGCCGGGGCCGCCGGAGCCGGTGCAGCTCGGGCTGCAGCGCCTGGCCGCGGCCGTGTACGGCTGCCCGCCCAGCCTGCCCGCGCTGCTGCTGGGCGAGGACACCGCGGGCGGCGACCCCGAGGGGGACCCCGAGCAGGATCCCGAGGCGGCGCTCCCCGAATTCTTGGACGTGGCTGTCGGCGGCACCTTCGACCGGCTGCACGGTGCTCACCGGCTCCTGCTCAGCGCCTGCTGCCTCCTGGCCCGGCGGCGGCTCCTGGCCGGGGTGGCGGACGGAGAGCTGCTCCGCCGTGAGTCCGGGGCGGCCGTGGCACTGCGCGGGCACCGGGGCTGAGCCCGGGGCAGGGCAGGGCAGGGGTCTGGGGGCTCGGTAACCGGTGAAGTCCTGGCAGCCACGCACCCGAGGTAGCGCCATCCAGGCAGAGTATCAGCGGGGATCCAGTGGGGTCCCCATGTCGTGCCCACAACCAGCAAAGCGTACAGGTGCAGCGAGGGCAAGGGAAGGGGGAGGCAGCGTTCAAAGTCCCATCTCTCGGTCTCTCTTTTCTCCCATCTCTCGGTCTTGCTTTTCCGTCACTGTTCTGCCTCTCCGCCCTCCTGGCGCCCGGCAGACAAGGTCCTGCCAGAGCTGATCGAGCCGTACGAGCTGCGGGCAGCGAAGCTGCGTGAGTTCTTGGAGGATGTGAAGCCCTCACTGTGCTACGACATCGTGCCTCTGGCCGACCCCTTCGGCCCCTCGGTCACAGACCCCGACCTGCAGTGCCTGGTGGTCAGCGAGGAGACCCACAGGGGAGGGGTGGCTGTGAACAAGAAGAGACTTGAAAACGTAATTCTCATGCTGGAGTTACCCCTGCCCACCCTCTCGCCCTGCCTGATACTGCCTGGGGGCAAATTTGGTCTTGATTCACCCCTTCCCTCTGCTGCATACTCATGGCTGGGGCTCCCTTCTCTCATCAGGGGCTCCCCGAGCTGGCTCTGTACGAAATCCAATTGATGAAGGACCCCGAGCACAGTCAGAACGAGGAGGAGAAGATCAGCTCCTCCAGCCTCCGGCAGAGGCTGCTGGGGACACTGCTGCAGCCCCCACGGGTGAGGGGGGCCTGGGAGGAAGGGTGGGAGTCTCAGAGTCGAAGAGTTTGGAGAGGCTGCCTGCTCTGCAGGCCAGGATCCTTCTCCAGCAAAGCCCAGTTCTCCATCTGCTGCCACGGCTTTCCTCTTTCCCTCAGCGAGACCCAGCCCTGCCGCTGCGCCCGTACGTGATTGGGCTGACTGGGGGCACTGGGAGTGGGAAAACCTCCATGGCCAAACTCCTGGGGCAGCTGGGCGCCTTCATCATCGACGCTGACCAGCTGGGCCACGCCGTCTATGCCCCTGGTGGCCCGGCCCACCAGCCAGTGGTGGCAGCCTTTGGGGCAGGTAGGGTCACTGGAGGCTGCAGGGAGGAGGAAGAGGAGGGAGGGGTGTCCCAGTGTCCCAGAGAGCCCTGGGAGTGCCCCCCTCCCTCCCCACCGTGGGTTTTGGGCTCCCCAAGTGTTGTGTGCCCCATGTCAGAGCTGCTGGTGGGGAATGATGAACCAGGCTGCTGTTTGTTTGCCTGGAAAAAGCTCTTCCCTGTCCTTTTCAGGAATCAGGTGAAGAACTGCCAGGTTAGGTGTTTCTACGTGCTGTTGAGAGCCCTGTGCCAAAGCCCTTTCCCCAACCTAGGCTTCCCACAGGGATGGGAGTTGTCCCTCCCAAACCTGTTGTGCTTCTGCCTTGCAGAGATCCTGAACAAAGATGGAACCATTAACAGGAAAGTCCTTGGGGCCAAAGTGTTTGGAAACCAGGTAAAAGCAGCTTTATTGTAAATACTTAATGCTGTGAGTGTGGGCTGTTCTCTTGTGACAGGGGTTTTGAGTTTTCAGCCCTTTGAGATGGTGACACCTTCCTGGCTGTATTTTCTGGCAGTGGCATGGGGACAGAGTGGGGCAGATTGCATCTCTGCAGATGAATCAGCAGCTGGGCTGGATCCATTGCTCTTGCCCTGCAGCTGCTGCTGCCTCCCTGTTCCCATCCCTGTCCCTGTTCCATCCCTGTCCCCATTGCCATCCCCATCTCCTCTATACCATGCTTTTCCTTAATCAGCTCAGAGGAACAGACCTGACAAACACAGCCAGGGGTCTCTGCCCCTTGTGCCCAGGGAGGCTCAGTGGCACCTGGCCTTTACAGGTGCTCAGCCTGTTGCTCTGCTGCTTCCCCAGCCAAGGTGGAGGCACACCAAGAGCCCCTTCAGCATCCAGTGAGTGGAGGAGATCTCAGTCTCTGCTGTGAGGGGTGCTTTGCTCCACAGCGCCGCAAACTCCCCGTGCAGCAGGTCTCACAAAAGACATGTTCATCCAAGAGGTTCCCTGCATGAACATGTCTTTTGTGGGACCTGCTGCACGGGGAGCTTGCTGTGCTGTGGAGCAAAGCACCCCTCACAGCAGAGACTGAGAGCTCTGC